CGTATTGGTGTGCGCCCCGATACACAGACTTGAGCACGCGATGAAAGCCAGCCTTCTCGAACAGCGGTACAAGACTCTGCGGACTGGGTGGGTGGTAGATGGAGAGAAGATATTCGACTGACAGCTGGCAGTCTTCTTTGATCGTGTCTGTAGGATAGTTGCAGAGACCAATGAGGACCTGGTGCAGCGAAGTGCCCGGAAGCATGATATGCTGCGGGTATTTCGGCAAATTTCGCGCGACGAACATGTAGAAGTAGATGATATCTTCTGGGTCGAAGTTGTCGGTGTTCATTATCCCGAAAAGGTAGTTTATGATGGACTGGCGAGTGGGAGTGAGAGCAGACCCTTTGTGCGTGCCGTTGAGCTGGGCTCCGTTTGGTGCATCTTGCTCGCCATTCAAGAAGCTATCCTCAAAGGCCTCGTTCAGCATGCTCATGAAGCTCGAAGCGTCAAAGTCCAAGACGAGCTGCAGATACGGAAATGGAGGCTCTGGGCTGCCGTCAGACTGTGTCAAGATGACATCGCCCGAGCCTGGAGGCCATTCCAGATTCTTACCCGAGAACAGGAACCGATACATGTCCTTTTTGGCACTATACGCTTTATCATCCTCCATGAACGCGCCGCCAGGGTACACTCGCCCAGTGAAGGTGTACGCCAGGTATGGGAAGATCTTCTTCGCGGCAGTGAGATATATGTTCTCTGTCTCATCCACATCAAAGTCTACAAGCTTGATGAGCTCTAGAATGTTGGTGAGTGGCGTGATGTAGTCGCCAATAGCTCTCGTCCACACGTAGATCAACGCGTCGTACAATACGTATTGCTGACAGAGCATGGTGACTTGGTTGAGGTCCATCGTATCGGTGCTGAGCCGACAGATCATCTCTTCGAGCTGGGCGGAGCGATTGGCTGAGGCATAGAACGTGATGAGGTCCTTCAAGACGTTCGGTGGTACTGCGGTGATCTCGTCGTCTTGTATGTATGGCTCGAGGGTCTCAAAGAAAGACTTCTCCGCTGACGCCTCTTCGTAGGTATCGTAAACGTCTTCGAACAAGAAGTCATATTCCTCCATGCACAGCAAACCTGTGAAGACCACCTCAGCAAGCTCTTTCGCTCGACGCTCCTGCGCATCGCGATCGACGTCGTCCTGCCTGGAGAAGGAATACTTCAATGAGGCAGTAATCATGTCAAGCAGTTTTGGTTGTACAAGCGCATAGCGTGCTTTGTCATCGTCGGGCAGTCCGACGGTGAGCTTGTCCGCATCCCCGAGGTAGTACGAAGTCGCGAGACCGATAGCGGCAATGTAGTCGCCATCCTCCATCAAGGCCAGCAGACGGTCAGCCCAGTTTGAGAGAGTGCCGATGGAGCAGTCGTTGAAACCCAGGAGGAACAGCCGACCCTTGTACGCCCGGAAGCTCATGTAGAAGGCATCTGCCACAACACCATGTAGCGACGCATCTTCTTCATTCAGCTGCTCAACAACCGGTTTGAGCTGTCGGGAGAAAAGGTCCGAGTGGTAGATGTGCTTCTGCAGCAAGTCGAATGAGTCTGTCACGCGGAGAGTATTGTCTTCCAAGATCATGAGGCGCTGACTGATGGTAAGCACGCTGAGAACTGATCGACTCAGCCACTGAACAGCAACAATAGCTTCTTCCGCCTTCCAGCGACTCCGAGGTCTGAAGCGAAGCTCAACAGGCTTTTCTCTTTCCGACGGGGGCGGGAGGATGGAGTCGACTTCGAGTATAGTCAGGACGTTAGACCAACAGTACACGAGCTTTGTTTTGGATATCGCGTTCTCGGAACCGTCGGAGGAACTCTTCAGCTTGACAGCCGGAAACCAAGCCAAACACCCGCTCAACGCGCTGTGCGCTTCCACATCCTTGGGTCGGGGCGCTTTGTGCTGTGTCTGTGCAACCGGAGTAGTCGAGACAATGACTAACAGATAGGGTGTCAGCAATGCGGTCAGACCCATATTGTCGGTTGGCTGCTCAACGTTGCCTAACGGCAGGGGTGCGAAGGCCAGCACAGAACTTGGTTTCCGAGGTTTCTCCAATGACTTTACCGACAATGGATATCTCCCCAAGATGCGAGTAGTCTTGACCGTCCGCGCGATGGCCCCTAGCCCACGTGTCGCCAGATGGGAGAAGGCCATGCCTGCGTCATCTGCGGAGACGAGCGCTGTGCGCCGGGTGCCGAGGAAACCCAGATGCAGAATCGCTACACCCGAGACATGGCCATCTGACTTGTTGTCCTCCAGAGACGCTCTTTCCAGAGGCGGGATGTGCAAGAATGGCTTGGCCGGCTTCGCCAACTCCCATGTGAAGATGTGACCTGTCGCATGCCCCCCTGCAATGGCCGAGTGATCAGCAGCGATGGCTAGCGAAGTGATGGCACCGCATTCGACAGCCTTGGTTCCCGGTCCGATGATGGACTTGAGGACCTGTTGGTAGTCGAAGATGAGGATGAAACCTTTCGACGTTCCTATCGCCAACGAGACGGTCACATGTAAGCATGTGGGCCGGCCAAAGTTGCGCTTCCCAATCTCCGAGAAGACTTGTCCAGTGATCTTCTTCAGCTTTGTCCATCGCACGACCTCCCACGGCGCCTGAGTTGTCTCGGATCCATCATCGGATAGTTGCTGGAAGACGAGGTTGCTCGATACGGAGGATTGTCGCGAGTGCGGCGATAGGAAGGCCGGTGACTGGCCGCGCGGTGTCGGCCCAGGGGATGGAGATAGGCGGGACGAGAAGCGGCGTTCGAATGGCTGCAGCGATGTCGGTCGGTGAGGGCGAAGCGAATTGTGCGACACGGGCACGCTGCTCGTGGGTGAGGATATACCGGAACCCTGTCTTGGTCAGAGGATTCCCATGTGGATCTGCCATGCTGCATACCTGAACCGAAGGAGTGTCGTCGGGTATGTCCGTCGAGGCAGGGCTATGGGCCACCTCTATAGTCGGTCGTATGGACAGCACTGATGCTGAATCATGCGTCTCTTCCTGGGGGCTTCTCCGCCGTGTCCTGGCAAAGGTCAGGCCCTCGATGCCGTTGTCTACCGACTGCACATCTTCGCTGTCCTCTTCGTCCAAGCTTCTTCGCTCGGTCGCGCTTCCCTCAGAATCATCTTCTTGTGCATCAAAAGCGCCCACCGCGCCTTCCCTGGTGTCTATCTCGTCTCCATGGTCGTTGTGAGCGCTGGAGTGGCTCTCTTCCGAATCTGAGCTCATCAGGCTCGTTCTGCGCAGGGCATTGCTTCAGGCGCACATCTGGTAGCTGTGGGTAATTGCGCGATGTCTAATATCTGGTCTTTGGAATGTTGTGGATCGTGGGTGTGTTCGACTCGGCGCGGGGGTTTCGGTGATGGTATGCGGTACGGGTCGGTGCTGCCTACGCGAAGGCGAGTTAGGCGTGCGTCCGGGCGGATAGCGCGGCAACCGAGGGCGTATGCGACGGGTGTCAAGGTCAGTTGGAGGGTGAAGGTCGCCCACGAGGGTTGGCATGGGCTGGCAAGGATGGCGCGTCTCCAGAGCTCATGGCGCACCTGGGCAGTTCGCAGATCGCCGCATGTGCCGCGCCGTTGGTCAAGGTCCAAGCTCCAGAGAACGTCACTCGACGCGCAGCCAGGTACATTGTGCATTCACACCCACAACCCGCGATGCCTTCAATAGGACCAGCCATGCCGCCGCACCTTTCCAAGCGCAGTCGCGACGACGACGATGATCGCGCATCGAGTCCAGAATCCGGCGACAAGCGCAGACGAGTCATCGGCCCAGCACCTCCACCTTCCGCATCCTCACCTCCGCGCACAGCTGGGCCTTCACTACCACCAGACGCGACATCACGGTCCAGTAGTGTCGATAGCGACGTCGGTCCTACGCCCCCACCAACCTCGAGGCCTGCGCGCGTGGTCGGGCCTGCTCCACCGCCAGCGCCTCTCGACGAGCGGCCGCCCAACCCCCCAGACAGCGACTCCGACAGCAGCGACGATGACTTTGGACCCGCGCCGCCACCAGCTGGCGGAGCGTCTTCAGGCTTCGACAACGCCATGGGGAAATCGGCATTCGACACGGAACCGCAATTCACCGATGCGCCGAAGAAGACACAGCGCGACGAATGGATGACGCTGCCCCCGACGCAGGACGACCTCGCCGCTAGAATGGACCCTACAAAAATGCGCGCACGCAAGTTCAACACGGGCAAGGGCGCAGGAGGTACAGGAGGCATGAGCAGCGCATGGACCGAGACACCAGAGCAAAAGCTCAAGCGGTTGCAAGACGAGGCCTTGGGCATAACCGCGCCCACCAATTCTGCGCCTGCCACTTCGGAGTCAAAGCGGAACAAGGAGGAGGAGAGGAGGGCACGCAAGATGCGCGAGAAGATCGATGCCACACGCGGCAAGAGTCTGGTCGAGCAACATCAAGACAAGGGCACCGGCAAGGAGAAGGAGGACGATCCTAGCAAGCGCGCATTTGACTACGAGAAGGACATGGCTGTGAGCGGCTCGCTCAACCACAAGCAGAAGCGCGAGATGCTCAGCAAGTCAAAGGGTTTTGGCGATCGCTTCTCGAGCGGCAACTTCTTGTAGCTGCGAAATGTAGACGTATGCATGATACAATTGGATCAAGTGTGGCTTCCGTTCCTGTCAAAGGAGTAGTGTAACGGGCGCTCTTTCCATACCCAGAATACCACCACCACCTACCGATTGGGCGAGAATCTCCAGGCGCTAACAGCTGATTGGCTCGATATACGCGGATGGTCGCCGGCCTGATTTGACCGCGGCGCGCCTTGACTCACATCATGCCTTCCGCTTTCAACGGCACGCTATGATATGCGGAATTATGCCATGAAGGGATTAGACTCGAGATAGTGCAGATGAATCATTCTGACCCAGAGTACGTGTAGCTCAGCGTGTCGAGAGCTACTACGCTGACCATGAACCGGTCCATCGAGCAACGTATATATTGAGCGACCTTCGCATGCATAAAGTATAGAATTCGATCCACACCATGGCTTACAAGACTCCCGAATTCGAGAAGCTCGTGCTAGCGACGATAAATGAATTTCGCGTCCCCGGTCTTTCGCTCGCAGTTGTACAAGGCGACGACATCTACTCCAAGGTATCTAGGCCTTTTCACGAGAACTACTGTGCATCACTCACATCCCTTAGGCGTATGGCTATTCGGAACTGCCCGATACCCGAGCGACTACAGACACCCTGTTCGACCTCGCAAGCACTTCCAAGTGTACCACTGCGGCCGCCGTGGCTGTTCTCGTAGACGATGAGCAGTATCCAGACGTACAATGGACAACACCCGTGTCAAAGATTCTCCCCGAGGACTTCGTTCTTCCTGACCCAGATCTCACGGAACAAGTCACCATTGAAGATATTCTGAGTCACCGGAGTGGCATTGCAACGCACGACGAGTCCTACCTCAGCGCACGAGCGAAGCACCCCGACAATGCGAAGTCCCTGACGCGCAATTTGCGCAACCTCGAATCCGTCAAACCACTTCGTACCGAGCACATCTACTGCAACATCATGTTCAGTGTTGCTGTGCACCTCATCGAAACTGTCACCGGCATGTCCTACACCGACTTCATCCGGACCAACCTCTGGAAACCACTCGGCATGACCAACACATTCCACGACGTACCCGACATTCAAGCCAACAGCGACACCGACCGACGCGCAAGGCCATACTACTGGAACAGCGAATCTGAGTCTTACGTCGCACTCCCTCACTACCCTCCTGCCCCCGAAGGTCACGGCGCAGGCTGCGTCTTCAGCAGCGCAGGCGACTACGCGAAATACATCCGCGCGCTCATCAAACGTGACCCCATTCTATCCGAAGACAGCCACAAAGCGCTCGCCACGCCCCGCAGCTTCGATCTCCTCGGCGACGAGAAATGGTCCATACCCTACAAGAGCGACGAACTCTACACCCTCGGCCTATCCCGCACGACCTATCGCGGACACACGGTCATCGGACATTACGGCTCGGTGCCTGGCTTCAAAGCCATGGTTTGCTTCCTCCCCAAGTTCGCCTGGGGCCTCGTCATCTTCGGGAACTCGGACACCGCCATGTACGTCAACGACATCCTGAAGTTCACATTGCTGGATGATGTTCTCGGCGTACGCGACGAAGACCGCGTCGATTGGAGCGCGTTCTTCAAGAACTTCCAGGCCATGGACGATGCGGAAGAAGCGGAGAAACCGGAGTGGACGAAGGTGGAAGACGCGCTACCGCTTGACGTTCCTCTTGACGCGATAGTAGGCACCTACCAGAACGTTGGGTACAAGAGCCTCGTAATCGAAATGAAGGACGGCAGGCTTGTTGCGGACTGCACCGATCGATGCTTTCCGTACATGCTTACGTTCGCACACCTCAGCGGTCACACGTTCGCGGTAGAGATGCACGGCGTGTGGGAGGGGAAGCTGTATAGTACCATTCGAGGCGAGATTCGAATGGAGGCTGGGAAGGTTGTCGCGGTCGGTGTGGGCCTCGAGAGCGACGTGAAGGGCGGTCTTATCTGGTTCGATCGTGTGATGTAGCCTGTGGGCGACATGATCACCCGCGCGACCTGATTACTATGCTATAGCTGCGCTAAGCGGCTACGTACCACTATACAGCGATGTACAGCACTGTAGTCAAGAACCGCAGGAGACTATCTTGACCGCTGCATCGTACATGCATGGTCGTAACTTGTACTGTGAAGGCTACTCACTATTGTCAAGTTGCTGACTTTCACGTTCTCCAGGGATCGCTAGAGCGCTACCTGACTACCCCTCATTGTGCGACCCGTATCTCGCAATCTGTTGCATGTCATCCATAGAAGGCTGAATCACACGCTGGTGGCCTTAGATCTCACGTCAGATATGACGCATGCACTCAATTCACCCCGTCTTTGCTCTCGTACTTCACTGCAACTCCGGCACAACTCACGAATGCTATGGCCAACGATCGTGCTATCGCACTCAAGACGCAGATTCGTGACGCAGCTCAGGGCCAGCAGCAGTTGCGACCGATATTCACGTCCTTGAACGGGGACAACTCGTGGCTTCTTTCCTTTCCACGTCCAACAGAAGAGCGGATTGCCGGCGGGAAAGCATTCTTTCACATCGTACATGACCCATGGTTCAACGGTCCTGTCAATCTATTGGGGATATGGCTAGCAAGCTTCAGCCTGTCGTCTCCACCTGCTGTCAATAACGGCAGCGATGTAGAAGGCATCGCGCGCGACGTCGAAGCTGCAGCCGCAGACGCCGGGATCCTTCCTACCACAGCACCCATCACCCAAGATGCTTCCCCAATCGATGCGATCTTCATACGCTTCCACTACAACGATCATCTGCACAAGCCGACTCTGCTGACATTCGCATCAAGCATACCCGTGTTCGCGACAACAGGAGCGAGCGCGATCATTCGCGGCTGGAACCACTTCGACAACATCATCACTACTAGCGACCTCGAGCCGGGTATCTTCAACGGCGACTGGACATCGCTTCATCCAGGCAGCCCATTACCAACCTGGCTAACCGTCTTCCGAGCCCGCGGCCACCACGAGCTTAACTTCGCCAGCGCAATCATTTACACGCCTTCACCGGACGTGCACGAAGCGGTGTTGTACTCCCCGCACGGCATGCGCACCTCCCAGGAGTCTCTGCAGACTCTTTTGCATCGGTCGGCGCCGGAGTTCAAGGTGCTTGCCCTCCTTCACGGGCTCAAAGAGAGCTGGACGTTCAACTGGCAGACCACGTTCGGCGTTGCGACGGGGTTGGAATTGCAGAGGCAGACGGATGCTAAGTACTGGATTGCGACACATAACTCGCCGCTACGGTATCGAGGGCTGTTATGGGCAATTGTCACGGATGTTTCACGGACGTTGGAATGGGCGCTGGGCAAAGAGAAGGCATCGGATTCAGAACAAAAGGAAGTCAATGTCGTGGACGTAGAGAACGGCGGATTCTTCGTGCTGAAGTAGCTCCCCGGACGCACTATCAAGATCGCGCTGCCATCCTCCGCCTCTTTTATATCCAGCGCGGTGGTGTGTAAACTGTTTGCCGTGTGTTATTCAGCGCGTCGTCGTCGTCACGGCCCGGCACCTCGGCTCGCTCACTACGAGTATTAACCACGTCTCCTCCCTGCCCTTGCTTTCCTTATTCCTTCGTCGCGACATGCTCCTTAGTTACCGTCGCGCCCTAAACCAACCTCGTGATCTGCTCCAGCGACGTTATCTGCTCCACGACAACCCACGGCAGCTCGTCCACGAGCACCTCGGCGGCCGCGTCACCACGTCCAACCTTGGTTCTATCTTCTTTCTCTTCTTCGTCGTTCCCCACGACAATCCCCTGCTCCGACCCCGCCGCCGCAGCCAGCAGAACCGCGACCTGTAACAACGCGACGTCGCCGCATCGCCAACGCGGCTTTCTCTTCTGCGCCTCCTTCGGTTGCGGCCGCAACATCTGCAGCGTCGTAGCAACAGCGGCAGGTAATGCGTAGAAGACAATAGGCAGATTAAGACGCGAAGAGAGAGCGCCAGGCTAGCAGGAAGACGAAGTCTCGCGCTTTCGCACTTCTAGCAATTATACACGTGTTAACGTAGCCTTTATTACTCTTGTAACTATTCTAGGCCTTACGCTCTATTAGGCTAATATTAGCCTAACGCCTCTACTATATATATATTCCTATCTAAGAGAACATAATTAAATTTATTAAGTATTTGTTATAAGCAATAGTATATATATATAAGAATAAGTATAAAGTGTAGAGCTTCTATAGCCTACTTATAATTAAATAAGTTAAATAATTATAAAGACTTAGCGCGCTAAGCCTCTAAGCTAATATTTTAATATTTTTAATTTTTTTTACTAAAGATTACTTTAGTACTATAATCTATTTATATAATATCTATTTATAAGCGTCTATTAAGTATAAGTTAGTACTAAGAGTATATAAGTATATACTAAGCGTAATAAATAAAGATTTCTAAAGATATTCTTCTATTCTCTAATACCTACTTTACCTACTATATTAGTAAGTACTTTTCTATCTCTTTACTATATATTACTAACTAAATAGATATCTATACGCTTTAATAGCTATAAAACTCTTCTTCTAGATTAAATTCTTAATAACTTTAATCTATTATTTATAGCTTCTACTTTTTTTTTTTAATAATAAAATACTTTCTCTATAGCTATATAATAAAATTAAAAAACTTTATAGCTATAATATTAGTAGTAATCTAGCTCTAGTGTTTAGAAAAAATATTACTAGTATTAAATAAGAAATAGGTACTAATAATATAGTTATAGTATAAGTTAATATTAAGAAAGTCTATATTATTTTATAAACTAGCTAGCTTATTTTTTAGTAAGTTTTCTTCTTCTACTAAGATAATAGAGAAGGTATATTAGAGAAGATTATTAAGTATTAGATTAATACTCTTACTAAGTTCTAATAAAAATAAAGTATAAGAAAGATTATAAGTAAAAGAAATATAAATTTTATAAAGAAGCTATTTAAAGAAAAGAATAAAGCTTAGATAGCTAGAGTACTATATTAGTATACCTAGGTTATAAGTAGAAATAGGTAAATAGTGTATATTACGCTAGAAATAAGTAAAAGAATATTAGTAAGATATAGTTAGTTATTAATTAAAATACTATTAAATAAGTATTAATTTATTCTCTAGAGTTTCTCTTAACTAGGCGCTACTACTCTATCTAAGAGAATATTCTAAAGCTACTAGATCTAAGTAATTTTTAGTAAAAGTAATAAGTCTTACTAAGAAGTAGTAAGTAGGTCTAAAGCGTAGCTCTAAGACTTTTAAACTTTACTACCTAAAGTTTTAGATAAAATCTAAGTAAGCTATTTTATAAAGAATAATTATATAAATTTAATACTTTACTTAAATTATTAATAGCTACTTATATTATAAAGTTATAAAGTAAAGAAGTTTAGAGCTAAATTTTAAAGTTCTTTATATAATTACTATACTTACTACTAGTATAGTTTATATATAGCTAGAATTTAGTACTAATTATAGTAGAGTAGATTATACTTATTATATATTACGTTAAGCTAGCGCTTAATAGCTTATTAAAGCTATATAGTATATAAAGAATAAAAATATCTAATCTAATAATAGTATATTAAGTATAATTTTCTTTTATAAATAGTAACTAATATATAACTTAAAAGTCTAAAAGTTTATATCTTAGAAAAGTTAAGAAAAATATCTAGAATAGTAATTTAGTAGTAATATACGCGCGTAGTCTAATAGCGTATTAAAACTATAAAGTAATATATAGTTATACTTTAGTAGCTAAATACTTTAGAATAGTTATAAATATATTATTATATAGTATATAAGCTCTAAAAGCTTATTAAAACTATAATAGAAATAGAATAATACTCTAAGAGTATAGTAAGTAAAGCTATAGTTATAGAAATATTACTATAAAGAAGTAAATATTAATAATATAGTTATAAAAACTATTATAAAAAAGTAGTAAATATAAAAACTATTATAAAGAAGTAGTAAGAATAGAATAGTATTAGACGTAGTAGTCTATAAGTTCTAGATAGTTTTAATAGAAAAATAAACTCTATAGAAAGCTATATATAGAGTATATTATAACTATAGCTTTTAGAAAAATACTATAGTAGAATAATATACTAATAAAATACTAATATAAGATAGAAAGTAAAATTTAAATACTAGTAGAACTATTTCTATAGGTACTAAATATAAAAATAGCTTTAATAAAGTATTAGAGTATATTCTAGCTTTATTAAAACTTTAGCTAGAAAAAATACTATTAAAATAAAAACTAATATATACTATAGAATACTATTATAAGTAACTAGTAACTAATATACTATTAAATTCTACTATATCTATAATAATATAATAGTCTTAGACTATACCTAAGCTTAGGCTAGAATAGAGAAGATATAGATAAGATCTAGACTTACTATATAAACTTTTAGATTCTTACTATAGTTAGAAATCTAAATAGAGTCTATTTAGATTAAAAGATTTATATATAAAACTCTATATCTAACTCTATTTAAGATAAATCTAAATAGAGTATTTTAAGAAAGTAGTTCTAGGTCTAGTAGATCTAGAAGTACTTACTACTAGATTTATATATTATTACTAACTTTATAAATTTACTAAACTTACTTATATTATAAAAAGCTTTTTACTATATAGTACTTATAGATTTATAAAACTTACTTATATAGTATAAGACCTATTTTTATCTATAGTAGTAGATCTAGTAGACTTATTTTTCTCTTTTAGTATATTTATATATAGAAGCTATTATTATTATAGTATATATAGTTATTAATTATAGATTATTTTACTAAAAAGAGATACTCTAACTATCTAGAATCTTTACCTAGTATTACTAAGTACTATTAAGAAGTAAGAGTTTAAATCTCTATACTAATACTCTTTTACTTTTTTTTATAAAGCTACTTATTAGCTATATACTATCTATAAGATTTTTTCTACTCTAAGCTTTATATACTAACTTCT